CAAAACCTTGTTAATTACATAATTATTATGAAAAACAGTTTATTTATAAAATGATTTCTTATGAATTATTGATTGATTTATTTTTTCAATCCCTTCATTGATTTGAAATCGTAGGGTCATAGCTTCAAAAAGCTTTTTAATAACCTTGATCATCAGTCAGTTGAGCAAGTTCACGGTTTGAATTCCAAGCAACAATGACAGAATGCATGACACATTCGAGCCATCTGGCTTATCTTGATCGCCTATAAGGTGTTCACTATATATTAAATATTATCGAGTTGCTGGCATTCAGTTTCAATTCCTTGTCTCGGAGTGCAATCGAAAGGTTGTTATTGAACACCATTATAATATTTACAACAGATTATGTGAATATAAATAGGAGTCTAGATGTCATTGCCCAAGGGAAAAAGTTAAAGTAGTAATGTGCAGGACACACACCAATAAGAATCGATCATCACTGATCCAGAGAGACATCAAACTGAGTTACGAGAGAGACTAAATGACCCGTAGGAAAATGTCCATATCGATGGTTGGAAGATCTAAAGAAGTTCACTGGATCAAGATGGATAAGAATAACAGAAAACATAAGTCTATGGAAAAATCTTGGAGAGACCTTCATCTTCATCCAGCAATGGATCGAAAACGGCTGATTATAATGATATAAATATCAAATTTCCCATTTTTTAAATGGATCAAAAACAGCATTTGTTAATAGAACTAACACAGACCTTGACTACAGTAATTTCGACTTACGCAATTTATCCTGCAAGGGTAAAAAGCGTTTGTTGCAAAAATTTGGCTTAACACACCTGCGTTACTCGTATGCCACGTAACATCGGTCTTCATTAAGGCAGGCAGTCCACGGAGTGAGCTATTCTCGCTCTCACTTGTTTGCTACTGAACACAGATACAATTCATGTACTTTAATAATCGTTAGTGTTTGCGAGCGATGTGGTAGAGTACAGTCACGACTGGAGTATGGAACAGAAGTGGGATAGGTGAAGCCGTCTAAAGGCACCAAAAATGTATCTAGAGATAAAACTGAAAATTGCGAATGTTAACATAACTTAATAGAGATATGAGGTAATCTTGTCCCCCCATCATCAACGATGAATGCAACTGTGAGTGAAGCCGTCAGTATAAACGGACAGGTACGTGATATCGAAGAACTGAGTGACTCGCAGAGAGACGCATCATCAAACAAGGACTAGTCGAATTAGAAGCAACAGAGGTTTCTGAGACTTCAGTTTAGAACCAGATGAAGAGCCAAAACATTTCTGGAAGGAAACGACGACGATCTCGTTAGAAGAGATCTCGTTTTGCAGAAATGGCACGATTGGAGAAGACGGATCTTAATATCTTGCGGCTCTTAAAGGTCGAAAGAGAAACAGAGGACGCTTTAGCATGCTAGTCGAGTATTTTATTGCAGAAGAAAAAGGCTGTTCAAGAACTGTCCAATTATCTTTAGATGATTTAATTAGGAAGGCCAAAATGAATATTTACTGTAGTTTTCTATTCTCTCAAATCTCTTATATTTTATTATATTGCTTGCATCAATAGTTTCATAGCGACATATTAAAATCAAATTTGTGCGCATTCTTAGATGAAACTAATAAAAATAACCTTTAATAGGCATTAATTTATTATGGTATATGTGTACTATAAAAACGTGAGCAATGAGGCGTGAGTTATGGCTGGACTGGGTTAAATTCGACTTGAGTCTAATATATATTACGTAGATGTTAATTGAACCAAAGTATTACACAAGTCATGGTCTAACTTTACAAGCAAAATCATGCTGTTCATTCGGCTGCCCTTTATTTTCTTTTAATAATATCTCGCATTAAGTTCACTTACAGCCTTGCAGCAGAAAATTTAGTGTTCAATTTACTTTGAGGGCTCACTGTGCTGGCATGAGCTTTTTCTTTAGATCAACGTGTTTTCAGTCACCACTACCTGTAGACCCTTTGTTTTAGCAGGAACAACAATAACCTCTGTATTACGACGCTGATCAATCAGCTAAATTCATCGATTCTTCAAAGAGACCAAGCATCATGCGAGTTTTCATAGAATTATCAGGTTCGACTACGTCCGCAGTTCGGGTCACTTCCAACGCTATATTCAGCCTATCTCGAAATCCAGCTACAGAATTTTATTATCTCCAGACAACGCCAATTGCTCCGCATGATGCTTCTAACTCCAACATTTCAATAAGTTTAAGTCCTGTTCAGCGGCGACCAATTTTTAACGTCTCATGTAGCTTACCACGATCACATCTAAAAATTCTGAACTACAGATATCATAGTGTTTTTGGGTGTTTTCTAGACGCCGAGAGAAGAGGGCTGGCTGATCATGTGGCTCACTGGATGTCGATAGTTGCGAAATGGACTCCGCTGGACCGTTAATCCTCAACGTTAGTTTAAAAGCAAGCTAGGATGACCCGATGGCGAAACTACTCGGTTGATACACGGAGCAGAAAAAAAAAGATTGGAGGATCGTCGACTTCTGCCTCTCCACAAATAAGATAAGTCGAATGATGATGCTGCTAATCCGTATTTTCTTCAATTCATAAAATTTTCAACCTTATCATAAGGATCAAAATCCGGGATTAAACGTTGTAGTGTATCGGCATTTTACACTTCCAAACCCAAATTTTACGATTGATTGTATTGTCCCTTGCTCGTCAAGGGCCATTTAAGAACTGCTCTGACCAATAAAGAGAGTCAAGTAATCTATGATATCTTGCACATCATATTTTTCCTGATGTTCGTGTTTGTCATAATCACCTGGGATGTGGTAAACAATCAGAACTGGATTAATGATCTCCAACAAGCAGGAAGTGATTCTTCAAATTACTTTAAGCCTTAACTGCTTCTATAAATGATATTCTCCTTGTTGAGAGCAAATCTGCTTCTAATAAACTTGATCATCTTTCAAACTGGCAAGCTCTATTACGCCATATGATCAGTTCCCTCATTATTGGACTACGAGATATGCCGCTCTTTTAGTTCTTCATGAAGCTTCGTCTGCTCGACTGATTTGAGTATGTGATTATTCACTACTTGGTCATATCATCAGACCTTGAGGATGATGCGCAGGAGGGGCTGCTAGAATGTGTTCGATGTGTTCAGTTGATTATTTTTGTATTTCAAGGCTGCAGTTATTTAGAGCCCAAGAAGAGAACGAAGAAAATCGACTATGATGCCCTTCCAAATTCCCTTCTTTGGATTCATCGTTATTGGCTTCTCGTACTCCAGTCTTCCACAGATCGCAATAAAAGCCCTTCACCATGACTACTGCCTGGATTGAAGCCTCTATCTTAGGTGATAACGGACATTGAAACTTGAAGGGATCGATTATCTCTACCATGGTGCTTTTCCACGGCATTACAGAGGCTCACTGTACTTGATTATGATACCCCAGAGCCAGCCATGAGTAAGAAAATGCTCATTACTAAGGTACGGAGGAGTTGTACTCGTATTAACTTTCTAATCAACGCACAGTAGAGATCAAGAAGCATCTAACGTGAATATATGATCGAACAAAGCATTTATTCTAGTAAACTCTTCACCTGAGTCCAAGGTCCTATCAACTTTCTTGGCGCATGAATAATGCACTGTGGGCAGTTGTAAGATGCCTCGTAAGCAAGTGTTTTAAGCGGGATGCTTTTATGAGCCAGCGGAAGGACGTTGTTTTCTTGCTGCTTCAGCAGTTGCTTCATAAACTCCTCAGCGGCTTGTGGCGACTGCAAAATACTATCTTGTAGTGTCCGATTTTCTGAAACATTTGAATCAACTGCAGAATGACGATTTTAAACGCGTTCCCAAGCAAAGCCGCATACTTAAGCTCAAATCCATGGTTCTGAACTGGTCCATTACCGGTTCTTCCGTCTCTTTTGATCTACCTGAAATGGAGATGTAAGGCGTGAAAGTTCTTGGAATTTTGCTACGGTTGTCATTTCTCTGCTGCTGAAAGTTTTCCACTGTCCGATATTGTCCCTCGGGGGACATGGCTCGTTGATCAGCTTTATTTGCCTGAAAACCTTGGCTGGGCATTCTTGGTATATGATATAACGATGACATGTCACGAAACGCCGGTTGTTGCGATTGCTGAAGGCCGAGTTGTAAACCTAAAAACCGGTGTAGAAACCACGCCGTGCCTCCAAAAACGAACCAACCTCCTGCGTTGACCGTCGGCTGATGACCCTGAGGAGCCCAGTTCGGCTGAGCACCGTGCACCGGGTGCACCGGAAAAAAACCGTTCGGATCGTTGACCGCGGAGAAGCTGTTGGCGTAAGGCCACTGTCCTTGCGTGGCCATCGACAACTTCCCGCCTTGCGGGTCCGCAACCTCGTACTGCATATTCAAATTCCGCGGGTTGAACTGCGTGGATCTTGTTGACTTCATTTTCATCTTTGGAAAGAATGTGTCGATCAGTGCTCCGGCAACTTGGGAGAGGAACGACTTTTCTCCACTGGACGTTTTGTTGCTGGCAACGGACGGTTCGGATCGGCAGTGGCAAACAGCGACAAGCAATATGAGTATGAACACCAGTCGAAACGTCATTACCATCATTCCTTTGCATAGACCAAGTTATACACGCAACGGTTTCAAGACCAAAGAATTCTCGATCGTTGCAGCATCGATGTGCTCTGGCCTGACACCTTGACCTTGACACCGAGTGATGTTGTACGATCTAATTCACCAGTTCAATAGAATCAGCTTTGGTCGACGATGCACAACTGCAGGTAAATCAGATAGGCCACATACATGAAACTGACAATATTACATTTAGGCAGCAGCATGACCTATATTGTTACATAAGTTTGGCAAGCGTCAGAAAATGACAAGTGGAATAATAAAACCATACTCACTAGCTCCGCCATATCGCTCATTGTTTTAAAATGCATATCGTTTATTAATGGCATGCAGAACGTTCATTATGACTTCGGCACCCTGATGTATGCTGCATACAGCCGCGAACAAATCGCTGCGGAATACCTATAGAAAGCAAGAGAGACACTTTAAGGCAGAATGGTTCTTGAGGATAACGAATTCATGAATTAAGGAGTATACGTTGATTTTCTATATAGTTCAGTTCAGTTATTTTTCAGTTGATGTAGTTT